CAAGTGAGCCCTCCCCGGCCAGCCGCCTCCGGGCTCCCGGTTCTTCGCTCCGCTCCGGGAGCGCCTTGGCGTCGGGCTTCCCGCGGCGCCCAGCTCCGTCTCCTCTCCCCTGCGCACCCCGTTTTTTTCTGGCTCCTTGTTACCGCATCCTTTCCATTCGTGCCTTTCTCTCTCCTCGCCCACCTCTCCTCCCTTTGGGCCTCCGCTCCTTTCCCGCGGCCTCCGCTTTTTCCAGCTGTTCGCTGTTTCTCTCTCTGTGCTGTGCTGCGCTTTTTTACTTGCTTCTTCACGGAGCTTAAACTTGGTTGTTTTTCATCTTTGCTCGGCGTCTGTTGGCCTTTTTTTTTCTTGCTGGAAGCGCTTCTGTCTTGGTGTCTGCTTCTTCTGTGGACCTTTACCACTACCGAAAAGTTTTGGCCCTACAGGCTTCTACCGCTTTTTATTTGTTCTTTGTGCCTTTGTTCATTGTGTCTCTGCATGCTCTCCAGTTTCCTGTTATGCACTTATTCCTACCTCAGTGATCTCTTAGCTTTTCATTACTCTATCTTCCACGAGGGCTGCTTCTTCCCAACTTTCTTAGTTCCATGTCTCTTGTTGGTCACTGCCTTTGTGTCTGGATTAGATTCACCCTGAAAGATGAGGTGGTTGGGGTTTTCAAGGTTAGACAGGTTTTTTTCCTCTGGTTTTGGGAGAGGAAGGTGACTAACCAGTGCAGCTCTAGATGGAGCAGTGTTAAACAGTCTTATGATCATAACTCTGAGACAGATGCACATAGAAGCAAGATGGAGGTGATTGCTGCCTAAACTTTCAAACCTCTGAATACAGAGTTTTCCCGGACTAAAAATTTTTAGAGAGTGACGAAGCTGGGAGAGTCACTCATGCTTAGTTGTACATATGTGAGGAGATGAATTAGATTTTCATGGGCTAGCATTTGTTTCTCTAAGCTATTTTATTTTGCTATGGAGGAGTTAAGGATACTGTAACTTGTACTGTTACAGTGATTCTTAGTGCGTGACAGATTAACAGAGTTTTGTAATGACTAATCCTAAAAAAAAATAAGATCCTCCTTAAGGTATTATTTCCTTGTGTAAAAGTTTCATACAAACTGTATCATTTTCTCAATTGCCTAGACAAGGAAGGCATAACTTGTAGTTCACTGTGCAATACCACTGCATATTCCTTTGTGTATCTAAAAAGCAAGGCCTTGTAGGTTATTCTCTGATAAGTACACATCAGTCAACTTAAAAGATGACGTATGATAATGAAGTTCTTGTACTGACAGTAATATTCACCCACTAACTTTCTTTGTTTGTTTACTTTATGCTTTGTTTATTGCTTATATTTCTTTGGGGCAATCAAAATTCATTTATTGTTCAGGATTTCGACACCATTTAAGCTTCACGTACTGTAAAAGGCTAGATTATTTCAATGTTTCTTGGTGAAATTCTTTCAATTTTAAAATTAATTTGTTGGATATTTTGTAATATTTTGTATAATAAAATATTTTTATAATAGCATATTTTTGGCAATACTTTAAACTGATATTTAAATTGAAAGAGCAGAATTGATAAATAAATGGAATTACCCTGAAATAAACGTTAGAGGATTCTAACTGAACCTGTTTTACTTTTTTTCTACTTTCCTATATACAGAGACCTAAAGGACAGGGAAATAAAGGTAAGTTGATTCCTTGTATTTCTGCATAAATCTCTAATATTGCTCTTTATGGAGGTTAATGTATCTTCAGACAGTTGTGGGAAGAGAATGTAGCTATAGGATGTCTTTTATTTCAGAGCAAGATGATAGGAAACTGTGTGCCAAACTTATTTCCCAGCATTTCTTCTGTGGCACAGCAGTACATCAATTTAAAGTGTTTGATTTTGCAAATGAAGATTAATGTCAGAAGTTGGACGATAACATAGCCATTTCTTTTTAGCTGACTTTGTGATATGCTTGTATAATCTCTTTAACAGTACACCTTGGGCCTTTCTGTGCACTGAATAGAATCCGTGTGCTAGAATCATCAGGAAGAATCTTTTGAACAGCTTCCTTAGCTTGTGAGACAACAGCCATGTGACTGTGTAGTTACTCATATCTGAGCAGAACACTTCACCTTCCTTATTCTCAGAAATTTTGTGGGCATTTCTCTTCATTTCAGCATCAGTATAGAATATTCTCTCAGTGTTTGTAGGCCTTCTGCTTTTCTACTTTTTTCATGTTTCTGTCAACATCTTAGTTTTTAAATACTGTGCTCAATGGGGTTTCTTCTCTCCCACAGAAACAAGGAACTAACTGCTTAATATTCTTCTCTCTGAAATTCTTGGCAAGTCTATTGTAAACAGCATCTCGGATTATATCTTGCAATTTGTTTCTGGTCTGGAATTTTTTGTCTTTGATATAAGGACTAATATTCTGTTTGGGAGTTCTTTTTGTTTAATCAGTATACTTGCACCCGTTTAATTCTTAGGTGCTCAGCAAGCTGAGCTATAGAATAGCTTGCACACAGTGACCTTCATGTGTTAATTTGCTAATTTCTTCAGGCAGATAAGAAACTTTTTGTGCTTATGTACTCTTTGGACCCTGCTGTTCGTTATCTGAACAAATCTAATTGTTCAGAGAACTGTCATTTAGTGATATCTGCAGTGTACTTATTCTGTTAGTCTGTCTATGTGCAGGTTATCTGCTTCTTGTTACATATATCAATTACAAGGTGGGACATTGTTTCCAAATCTTGCTCATTTTAGCCTGTTTCTTTTTAATTTCTTGGCATTCAGAGGCAAATGAACTTCTGTTTACCTCAGACCTTCTCAGTTTCGTTATCCTTGAATACTAGTTCTCTTATTTTCTAATACTTCTACCTTTTTTTCCCTCCTTAAACTAGAGCTTTTAACTATTTCATTGAGTATTTGAAATAGTTTGTGTTTATATTTTCCATGTTGCCCTTAAATGAGAAGAAAAGTCAGATTCATTTTAGCAAGTAGTTTGTGACTTCATGTTCTTTGAACTGCAAGTCTCAGTTTTTGTGAGGTTAATGAGATGCATGTATTAGAGAATCATACAAGTTTTTGAACTATCCTCCATATATATGTATTGGAGTGGAACTATTAAGCATTACTATTTGGGTGTTGTTCTGCAGCTTGGTTTACAGTGAAAATGCATGAGTCAGCTTTACTTTATTTATGTTAGCGTATTTTTGTGTGCTATAATTTGTAAATGCTGCAGAATGTTTGAATCAAACCGCATCCCTTAGTTTGCTGGGTAAGGAAGAGATTTTTGCATTTCTGAACTTGGATTTTTATGGAGTGCATCCTTTTAAGTAATGGATACTTACTATGTATTCTCTTGGTGAGAATATGACCTAAATGAAAACTATAGTGAAACAAAACGATAATCTCCTCCATTCTGTTAAATTGCTTAATGAAACTAAGTTAAAATTTAGCATTAGATTAAAGGGCTAGGAGGTTGAAGATGAGAGCACAGTATAGCATGAGTAGTTGGCTTTGGGTTAGAGACTTTTTCAAGAGGATAAATTAAGTCGGTATCAGCAGTCCTTACTTCACCACGTGTTAGCAGGCAGTAATCTTTTTCAGGTGTCATGATAGGTCCTAGCTTAAAGGAGCTTCAAGGGAAGATGTGATACTGAGTTAACAGACTAATCCGAAGTTGTTTTGGTGCATAAGAGTAACAACATTAAAGAGGATGATAAAAAGGTGACTGTCGACGTGTCTGGTAGAACATGTGAGAGAATGTGAATGAGCAGTATGAGGGATGTGTGCTTGGAAGTAGAGTACTTTTCATATTGAAACAAAAAATATTAGACCTGCAAGTGGTATTGGGAGGTAGCTGATTTGTTTTGTCTAGTAAAATGGTTTTGATGCTTTACTCTGGTTGATTATAAGAATGTTTCCCTTGACCAGAATTTGTGGGATTGAAGTTCTAGTGTGTAGAACAGTACTATCCACCTGTTGTGTTGGATATTAATGTTGATATTTCAGAGACTCGAATGAGTAAATTACCCTTTCTTGAAAGTTTTCTTGTTCTAGTTGTCAACTACTGTACAGTTGACATAAAACATCAGAACTAATGTCAGTCAAATGATGTCTTACAGGTGGGTGATGGGGGGGAGAAACTGGCATTC